TTGTGTACAAAGGCAGCCGACGAGTTTGACACCGACGATTGTGCCCGTATCCATGAAAGGCGCCAACGACAGTCGAAAAGCCGTGCTGCCTCGCCAGAGGTGCAACGAGAGGATGTGTATTGACCCATTTCAAGAACTTGCAGCCAATGTCGTATCCCGCAAGGAGTCGTCCTACAATCTTCAGCAGCTCCGCAGTAATAGCCAGTCCATATTTCGCACTGAAGATTGAGTTAACGACAATTAATATGGGACATTGAAGCACTCACAGCTCCCCGCTCCGAACCATGTCGGACACAAAAATTCCGAAGCTGTGGCGGCACAGGGCCACGAATATGCCCGTTTCCTCATAGAGGCCCCAGGCCTTGTTCACGACATCCTCCTTCATGTTTTGCCAGCCATCACCACATCCATCACCCTCTTCATCGAAATCTGGGTCGGGAACAAAGCCCTTCATGAGTTCGGATAGATGATCCTTGCCATAGCGATCGACAACCTCGCGCGGAATGTAGTAGTCTCGAGGAGGCTTGCGGTCATCAGGCGATTCTCGAGATCGACCAGGAGCTTGAGTTCCATCTTCGTTGGTAACACGTTCCCTCCGGTCAAACCGTTTGAGGGCATTATTGCCATCCATCGTAACAAACATCCCCGGCGCTGCCAGCTCTGGCTCCCCCTCCACCCGATATAGGCAACAGGGGCAGGCATTCTTGACCCGCCAATTTGGCCCGTCGCGCTTCAATTCGGCAGCAACTCGGAGCCTTATGACTTCTTTCGTCCGGAGGAATACGTCGTAGGCGACGGTGAACTGTTTAACCAGGTAGGGATGGGGGGCAATTCCATGGAGATCGCAAGTCGACCGGATGAAAGCTTGCTTCCCAAGCTTTGGGCACCGAAGATGGGCGGAGTGGAAGAGTGAAAGAAGCCTTGTGGTAAACCCGACGGCGGGGAAGATGGGAGAGGCGGGATATATGCCCTGCCGTACGAGTGCCGAGGCAATATACTGGTCGCCAGCAATATATTGGATAGGCCCTCGTCCTCGTCCTCGTCATCGGTGTCTCTGGATGGGAACCAAGGTCCGCTGCCACTGGGTCCATTCTGGAAGATGTTGCTTGATGGAGAGTGGTCCCAAAGGTATGTTTCGTTGGGTGGAAGCGCAAGAGCTCGGCGGACGGAGGCCCGTGTGTGTTCAGAGAGAGTGAGCTCTAAGATGAGATTGCTCTCATCAGCAAGGTCGTCAGGAACGTATGGAATGGCGTTTCCAAGAGCTTTTGCAAGTTCTTCGTCCGTTGACGGGAATCCTTCGGGGTAGCCAGCTGGCTGCTGACGTTGTCGGGGCTTGACTGGAGACCGCGACCGGGAAGGGCTCTTGATTGGAGAGCGCGACCGGGAAGGCGTGGAAGACATCGGATGGAGAGAAGCCGGGCCTAAGCACGTGCGGACTTTCTCTGATTGCTTGGTCACACTTGGGTCACACCGTGACTTTCGACTCTTACCCTGCCATGTCGGTTCCCTCTGCTCACGCGCTTCGCAAACCCTGGGCAGCCCACTCAACCTGTGAAGCACAAAAGAAAGGGCAAGGCCGTGCTGTCCTTGGCCGAGAAGCAATCCAAGGCTGAGGCCAGCAGCAGAAAAAAAGCAAATCAAGAGCGTCTCAACCTCGCGTTCACCAAGTTCCACCAGGAACGTGAGGCCTTAATTGCTCAGCTCTGTCTCGACTTCCCCGACCGCACCGAATCGTACATTCGTGCCAACATCTGCAGCAGCGTCCACACCAAGAAACCGCGAGCGCCAAATATATGGAATCTCTATGTAAGCCAGAAGTCTCGAGAACAGCCCAGTATGCATGTCTTTTCTCAATTCTAGCTCTCATTCATTGTTGTTGACAGACCGCGAAATGCATGAAATCCACGAAATCATTCAGCAGGAACTGGCTGAAGCGGGTGTGAAAAAGGTTAAAGATTTGTTGTCGGAGGAGGAGGTGGAGGCTATGGTGAAGGCAGCGGTGGACAAACAGGTCAACGAACATAACGGCATGCGTAAAACGAACCTGTCCAACATCGGGGATGTGAACCAAACGGTCCGGGGTAGTCAAACAAGGGTGAGGTTTCAAATGACTGATTTATGGTCGTTAACTCAACAATATACAGCATGACGGCCTCTACTCTCGCACCGGCACACTGTCCTTTGGCGTCACGTCAAAGAGTGATCCTGCAGACCCCTCCATGGCGCACTTCTTTGCAAGTGGCGGGGCGGAGCTATTTGTGATTGAGATTCTCAAGATGTCTATGATAGAGCTGGCTCGTCGATTTGAGATTTGGGCTCAAGCTCGGGCAAAAGGTGCATAAACTTGTAAACTTTGTTTGTGATTGCCATATTGACCAGATTGTAGGGGCACAGGAAGCTGAAGACCTCAGCAGCGTTCGTCAACAGATCGTTACGCTTATCACCAGCGGCCTTCGGGAAATCACGAAGAATCCCAAAGCGAAGATGTTTTACAAACACTACGACTACGCAGTCCGGTACAAGCACCACGTCCAGCTCATCGGCATCCCTGGGGGCAGCACTGTCCCCCAGAGCCCTTCCCGAATCTACCTCATTGATGTACTTCCGAAACCTTCGGCTTGCTTTGCGAAGCGGTACTATGCGATGGGAAGTGATGTCAAGCTCAGAGATCAAGTCTTTGGAGGAGCGTATTGAGCATCAGCGGGCCAATGGCGAGCTTCGTTTCCGGAGCAAAAGATCAGACGCCAACGTGCCCCGGGGGCCTCGAAAGAAGGATGGCAAGTCAGCAGAGGTGGTTGATGATGAGGAAGACTTTAGTGAGGACGACGAGGAGGATTCGGGGGAGTCGAGCCAGAAGACGAAAAAGTCGAAAGGGAAACGCCGAAGGGTGGAGGAAGAAGATGATGAGGAGGATGATGACGATGTCGAGGAAGAATGGGGAGGTATTCCCTTCACCGAGGAGGACGAGTGGTCCGGTATCCGGTCCAGCGAACAAACGCATTCGCAAGGGACTAGTGGACAAGACGCAGCGATCTCAGTGGAGCAAACCGCAGATGAAGTCATCAACAACCCTCTTCAGCCTAACCCGGAGGAGCTTGTGTCAACGACGACCCACACTCCCCAGCTGGATGCAACAGCGGCCAATGCTCAAACCCCAGTCAACAATTCAACCTCAGTGGTCATTCCTGAGTCCCATGGTGCTGGGCCAAGCCAAGTGTTGCCTCAAGAATCGATGATGGGAGTGTTCCAAGTGGGTGGGCAAGATGGAGCGGTGGACATTGCCAACTTGGATGGGGGGAAGGAGATTGGACCACCGAAGAAGAAACGGAAGGTCAATCCTGAGCCGGATGAGCCCCTTCATCGTTCATTGCCTGTTCGGGAGTCCAAGAAGCTTGCGGTGGCTGTCATTTCAAAGAATACGGCCTGGTTGCGAGGAAAGGACAAGTAAATCTCTTGAAAATCTCTGATGTAATAATTGAGTTAACAACGAATTTTTTTGACCAATATTTATTGTTTGAGTAGAAAGAAGAAAAGTCTACGTTGTGGACAAATATCTGATCTGTTGCACTTGGAGCTGTGTGGGGCAAGTGCATGGTAAACGGGATTGAGTTAATGAGTTTTATTGACTGTTCTGCACTAAATCATAGGTCAAAGGGAAAAATAGTACATGGATGACCTTCTATAGCTCCACAGGTGTTGCTGAGCCTGGGGAGGGATGACTAACTTCTCCGAACGATTGAGTTAACGACTTATATTCCACAACAATCAATGATTTGGTCTACATATATCCATTGAGCCAGTGGTACTTTAGAAGGATCTATATTCTCTGTGCTACAGCTTGAAGTAAACTGATTCTTCAGGGAATTGAGTTAACAATTCGTATTAAATATCGGAACAGATAGAACACTCGAAGTAGCAGCTTGCACTAAGCAACTTTCTGATGCTAGGGTTGGGACACATTGGGCACCTGATGGGGTGGGGGGCGGGCCGGGTTCAGCACTGAGCAACCAAGGTCACGGGCGGACGGGTTGAGTTAACGACTTTAATTGAGTTAACGACTTTTATCAATATCTCTTAAACGAATGAAGTTATTAATAAGCGGTTTGTCCTGGGATGGTTTTCGTGACATTCCGCAACTTTTTCATTTTGGGGCGGGAGGCGTCGGGGGGCGCGTCGGGGGGAGGGCGGGATCGGCGGATCATGATGGACTGAGTTAACGACTTTTAATTGAGTTAACGACTTTTATTAATATCTCTTAAACGAACACAGCTATTAATAAGCGGTTTGTACTGGGATGGTCTTCGTGACATTCCGCAACTTTTTCATTTTTGGGGCAGGAGGCGTCGGGGGGCGCGTCGGGGGGCGTCGGGCGGGCGTCGGGGGAGGGCGGGATCAGCTGATGACAGCGATGACACCGCCATTGTGTTGCGATCATCAAGTTTGATCAGAAATCAATTTGTTTGATCGAAAATGATGAAGGATTGAGCTCACCGTCGAGGTCAACGTCGAGCACGACGTCGGCGGACTATTTGACAGCGGCGGCAGGGTGCCTGACAGCGGCGGGCAAGAAGCTCCGCGGCCGACGACAGCGGGCGGCGATCGGCGACGTCAATCAGCGATCGGTGACATAAGTCACGATCGTGACGACGGCGCCGAGGCCCTGGGGGCGGCGGCGGGCAGCGGCGGGCAGCGCGCACACTGGCGGGGGCGGGGAGGCAGCCGGGAGGGTGATGGCAGCCTCCGGGGCTCTTTCCCCGCTACCAAGACCGGCCTTGGTAGCCATATTTAGCGGGGGTGCCCGCTACTGGCTCAACCCCCTCTAGTTAGAGGGAGAGAGTACCCCACTCTATCCCTCTAACTAGAGGGTATTAGGGTGCACTATAGGTGAGTTAGCGCCAGCCCTCCAGCACCTCACTCTATGGTCTCTTCCAAAGCCCTACCTCGATTTGCCGTGGGGGCAGATCACTCAGCTGACGCTTTTCGGGTACCTTACCCCGGACATGCTGCCGCTTCTGTCTGCGACAGTGAATTTAGAGCGGTTGCAATACAAGCCTGACTATCTATGGGACGCCGAACCCGAGATAGCTGCCACGCCAATTGTCCTCCATCAACTGCGCACCTTAATTGGCCATGCAGATGACGCTGGCTCACTGCTCCCCTGGCTTACCCTCCCTGCCCTGCGTACGCTCTCACTCCGGGTCAGCGAAATTGGTGCCACGCGATTGCACAACTTGGCGGAGCGTTCTGGCCTCCCGGGCAACCGGGGCTTCCGCGAGCTCACGATACACAGCACACTCGCAAACCTCCGTCGCATCCTGCCGTCTCTCCAAAGCGGCCTCGAGGTCCTGACTGTCCCCTCCCTCGCGTGCACGAGCGAGGAACTCGATGTATTTTTGGTGGACATGCGCAAAGACGGCGCCATTCTACCTGCGCTGGCAAAGCTGCACATGCCGTTTCTTGCGGCGGCCGTGGATGTCCGTCTTGGATCCGTTCTTCAGCTTCTCAAGTCTCGCTCCGACCCGAGTGTCAAGGGGCGTGCTGTTGCTGTCCCCATTACATCGTTCCTGTTGGACTTCGAGTACGACACCGCCGCAGAGGAGCAGAGGTGGGACATGGAATATAACCTCGAAGCAATACACAAGCTGTGTGTGGAGAGAGGATTGAGATTTGAGAGAAACATCAAAACTGAAGGGGACGTTTATAAGGATAATTGGGCTGTTTAAAGTTCTGCCAGTGCTCAAATTGTCCATAAGTATATGCTCTCCTATAAACATTTGTGACCCTGTTACTGTCTCTCCCAGAAAACCCTGACCACAAGGCTCAGAATGTCCCTCCCAACTGACCGTGCATTCGTATTCTGCCCCTCGAACTCTCATCGCCCTCTCTCAGAACTGCTGGTTTCCTGTCCCCACTCATCAGGATGCGGGGCGTTCTTGGCGAAATGCTGTAATTGCTTCGTCTACGACAAGCTTTGCCACACGTTTGAGCTCGTCTTTGTCGACGGGGCCTGCCCGGGCAACGGGAGTCCCCATGCCCGCGCTGGGATCGGGTGTGCTATTGGCACGCGCTTGGATCAGCAGCTTTCGCTGCCTGTAACCGACGAAATGGACCCCGGCCAGCGGCGCACCAGCCAGCGTGCCGAATTGCTTGCGGCGCTGATTGGCTTGGAGTTTCTCCTGGAGTCGCGCAAGGACTCGCGAGGGCGGCGTGGCGATGATGACTCCTCCCCGGATGCCCGCAACCACCGCTATATCGTTGTCGCGGATTCGGAGTACGTGGTCAAGGGCATGACAGAGTGGGTTCCACAGTGGAAGGTAGTACGACCTCAGGGCTATACATGTTGCTCGTCTGACTTTTTCAGGCGAACAATTGGAAGAACAAACACGGCAGGACACCAGCCAACGTCGATCTCTTCCAGCAAATTGAGGCTATCCTTCTTAATCACAAGAACAGGAGCTATGCGATTCAGTTTTACCACGTTCCGCGACAGTTCAATGCATTGGCAGACCGTCTTGCCAAAGAGGGGGCGGAACAATGAGAACGGAGTACTTACGATTACTTACTTACTACTACTGTATTCAATTAGCGCTCTCCAGATCATCTCTAATATCTATCCTGACCGCCACGTAAGCAACACTCTAATAAGTACACAAGTACATTATCTTATTGCTAAGTGTCTAGATGCTAAGCAGTGCTTAGCATCCAGACTGAACTTCTTTAGCAAACGGAGGATTTGTATTAGACCTCCATGCTAAACTTGAACCCGTACTCAAGGTCTATCGTGTCAATGCCTCGCATTCCCACATCCAATCCACCCCCCACTCACATCCATATCCATGCTTCATTATTTTGTCTGTGTCTAGCGAACTATCGTAAAGCCGTATGGTAAAAACGTACTCGTACTTGTATCGTGAAGCCTACGCCTACACTTCGTCAAGCCCAGCAATATGTAAAAACACAAAGGCGTCAAGAGGTCAAGATGATATAAAGAACAGTGGAGGGTGATGATTGTACACGAGAGGGAGGTGGCCATTTTGGTGGCCGTTCCAAAAAAAAAAAAGGGGGCAAGGGAAAGTATGCACGGAACGAAGGGGAAAATATGTACCTACTAAAACGTGATGTCAGCCAAGAAGAATAGAGGTACGAGATGTACTCACACGAAACCACAAGAAAAGCTCCAAAAAGGCATCGCGACCAGTCCAGCTGTCATGACCCTGGCCCCGACGGCGGCCAAATATCAGTCACCGTCCGTCTCCGCTCGCGCTTTCCGCTCCCCAACAACGACAGTCCCGCCGCAGCACTTCGATCTGCTGCATGGCTTGGCCCTGGGTCCGCGCCACTGCCCTCCAAAGACGCCCGCGGACGACTGACAATGGAAGATCGTTTTCGAAGCAATTCAGGCTTCTCCCCCTCGGAGTTACGCTCTGTACCCGATATCGTCCGCTGTCGCTCCCGTTCCTGCTCCCGCTCATGCTGGGCTTGCAACCCTGCCAAGGCCACAGTCGATGGTCGGGAGAATGTAACCGTGTTGGTGCGCGAACGGTTAACAGACTTGTCTGAGTCGTTGCGGGAGAGGGAGGGGAAGGTGAGGGGGGAGGAAACGGTATGTGGCGTCAAAGCAGTTGTGGGTACTGTATTCGTAGGCTGGAGACCAGCGCCCGAAGCTCGCACAGTTCCGCTGGTGAGGGTCTTGCGTCGTTGAGAAGAGTTTCCCGTTAAGGTCTGGGGCTTATCTCCAGTGCTCTGATTTCTCCGCAACGTGGTCGTCGTCGTCGATTCCGAGGGAAGAGTGGGCAATGGTTTCGGAATGGAAAGAGGAGGAAGCACCCGACTGGCTGTCCCCTGGTTTTGTTTGCGCGGGGCTGGAGTTGGCGACGGCTCATATTTGTGCGGTTGGACAGTCTCTTGTGAATCGGACGGGACAAGTCCATTAGTTGCTTGCGCCTGTTGCGCCTGCATGAGCTCCCGTTGTTCGCGTGGTGTAAGCAGTCTTCTTGAAGAAGGCGTCGTTGTCCGGGGCGGCTCCATCCTCGTATTCAGCACACTTGATGGTCTCAGCGCCAAAGCACTTTCCCTCCCTTCTCTCGCATCCCAGCTTGTTCTGGAGGCCTGACTTCTCCGTCCACTCGCATCAGGACTGGCACTTCCTCGCCCTTCGTCTGACCCACGCCCATCTCCAGTAAAGTCCCGCACCACCCTCCCCACATCGAGCAAAAACCCCGTTACCCCCCGCACCAGCTCATCGCTTACACGCAAACCCTCACGATACTCCCCTCCAACCCGTCGCCAAAGCTCTGCAAGCTCCGTCGCCCCAGCCACGTCACTGACCTCCGCGTCAATCTGCTCCTCCAAAGCTTTGGCAGTCCCGTTTCGCAAGATAGTGTTGAGCCTGTCCGCGGTAGCCACAACAATTTGTGCATGACGCGCCAAATCATTAGCGCTCCGGGAAGAACCGCCTTCGGTAAGCCGAGCCAGGTAGCCCTCAAACATCCCAAGACTATCCGACATAAGGCGAGTGTGTTCATGCTGGGATAAACTGCCACTCCCGTTTCCAGTCCGTCGCATGCTTGAATATGGACTTGGACTTGGCACTTGTCGATCATCCTCTCGCTCCATCGAAGGGCCTGTCCTCCGCGAATCCAGAATATGTGCACTGCTTCGATATGCCCGCAATGCAGGAGTTCTTGGTTCACCACCAGCGCTTTCAGGACCATACTCATCTTCCTCCGCTCTCCTTCTTGCCGAAGAGTAATCAGCCATAGAGGTGGCGGCACGCCCATGCCCTTGCCTCGTCCGACTGTGTTCCCTGTCTCTTGTCCCCTCCGCCCACTCAACTCTTGCCGGCGTTCTCGCTTCTTGCGGAGAAAACAAGTCGCGATCTCGCTCTCTTGCAAGGCCTGCTGCCCGCAATCCCTCTCCGACAAGACTCCTCCCCGCTCCCAACGCACTCTCAGCACTACCGCCCCGTAGACTCTGTCGTCTTTCTCGCTCCTGATCTTGGTCATACATCCCATTCGGGCTGCTCAGACTGATATCCTCGCTCAACCATCTCGTCTGGTGTTTTCTGGCGAGGTCACGAACAGTAGAAGCACGTTGTCCCTGTGCAGTAGACCCAATGGTCGATGTAGAGGATGTCGAATTCGAATGTGCGTGGCCATGGGATTGTGGGGAGAATGCGGAAGATGAAGAAGCAGTTGAGCCCGCAAGAGAATGTCTCTTATTGGGTGAAGTGTCATGCTGAGGCGGAGAAGTGGGTGGTTCCACAGAAAACTAATAATCATAGTCAATAAATCATCCTGAAATTGTCAAGAAAAGGAGACTCACTCTTCCGTTAGTGGTGTTGGCCCACTCTCGAGGTAGTGGCTGTCTCCGTTTCCCTGAAGTAGTTGGACTCAAACGGGCTCCAGTATATCGAGCTGTTCCCCCGCCCGTTGGAGTACGTCGCACTGAAGCCACCGCAGCCAAAGCAGCACGAGTAATGTCTTCAGGCGAACTTGGCCCATCATCTTCTGGCGCCCGCCGACTAAAGGAAAGTTGGGAAGCTCGAGAACGACGAGGGGAGCGAGTACTGGATCCGGAAGAAGAAGACGCCGCCGTCAAGTGCTTCTGTGGCGAAGCTGGTGCGGAAATAAGTCTTTGGCGTGTTGCCGGTGGGGGCAAAGGAGTAGTTGGTCGGCTGGAAGCAGGCGGCTCATCGTCCCTTTCCGTTTCTGAACCGGATTCTTGGGTACGCGCTCGTCGGAGGGAAGGCCGTGAAGATGAGTGAGAGGAGGAGGAATTCGAATTCGAAGAGGAGCTGAGAATGGATGGGGGCGTGGGAGGGGGTGGTGAGCGGGTAGAACTAGCTGCCCGGTTACTTGGAGCGGGGGAGCTGATGCGGGAGTATGAGGAGAGTTTGTCGAGTGCCTGTGGGTGTAAGATTGGTTGTCATAGTAGACAACAAGCCGACGAATCCGATTGGCCAAGCAACAACAAGACGAGAGGCGACAAAAGGGTCGGTAGATGGGGTTTCATGGGAGAATAAAACCATAGGGAATGGACGGTGTGGGGGGATGTAGATGTTTTTTTGAGTGAAAGGTGAGAGGATATGATTATCGCCATGGAAGGGCGGAGCCACATGAGTTTGAGGGTAGGAAATGAAAGAGGCAGAGCAAAAAGAGACAGTCAGAAAGCCGTATGATTAAGAAACAAGGGCACAAGACGCACAATTTTGTTTCGTTGGGTGAGGCTTTTGAGGCGCTCCAGTGCCAACACATTCTCGCTGGCGCTATGTCTGCGCTGATCAAGGCGGGCGGTGTTGTCTTCATCATCGATGTCATGCTCATATTCGGGGTCGTCGTTGTTGTTGTGGAAGGCAGCGTGGAAGGTCTTGAGGTTGTTGCCATTCAGCATATTGCCGCGGATGGCGATGCTGCCAGGGTCGCCCGTGCTACCGCTTCCCGTCGAGTTGGTCGCGGGGGGAGAAGGGAGGCCAGAGGTGCTGGTGCTGCTGCTTGAGATGGGGCTGGGCGGCTCGGGGAGGTCGGGAAGGTCTGGTGGGCTCGCGAGGTAACTCGTGTCGCCCCCGATGTAGACCGCTGAAGAAGGACGATGTCTCTGGGCGAGCGGGGGCCTGCGGGTGGTCATCTAGACTGCCAGGCGCACGACAGAGCATCCGAAAGAAAGAAGTGCAGCGGGAAAAGGACTACCGCATACGGGCGACCTGGTAGCAACGTGTGAAGGGCAAGACAAACAAGCCACAACAAAGTAACGTCGTCGTCCCAATCGGGTAATCATCTGATGTCGAGATTTTTCCTATGCTGTCACTCAGGCCCGTTATCTACACTTTTCTCGGTTCAGCTTTCAGAGGCGAGAGGCGGGCTTGACTAGTTTCCAGGCAGCTGTGAAAATGGACTGCATCTTCTTCCTCTATCGGTTGGTCTTGGTCTTTGTTCCTGCTTGCAAGATGTCATGAATGATTGAATCCTCTAATCTTCATCTAGGTCCTCCTCGTGATCTGAAGATCTCAAGCGGAACGTTGTCGATGCGCATCATGATGTATGATGCCTGACGCACGACAAGCCATCGACAAGCCAGGGAAAATTGCCAAAGCGTAAACCCATCGACGGCTGGAGCCTTGCCCTTGAAATGCCCCTCCCTAAATGCTCTCCATCTGGCATCCGGACCATCGTAAGCAGGCAATGCACATACCCGAGAAGTTTCCCGTCAGCCGAAAATTCCAAGAATATGTACGAAACGCTGTTGAGAAGACGGGTGGGATGGCAACGACGACAGGAGTCATAGTCCGGAAGAATGCGGCTTTCAATCGACAGCGCTTTCCTTCCTCCCTCTTCCTCGTTCGCGAGCGGACATGGGCATCTTGTGTGCGTCCTCCGTTTTCCACAGCTAATCCATCTCACAACCGCTAGCTCTTTTCCTACTCTCCGCTCTTTCCCTGCCTTGTGCGTCCCTTTCCCGCCACTTCCCATTTCCCCTGATTCTGGCTCGCAGTCTCCGCCGCCACCAGTGACCCTAACTTGCACCCTCTTTTCTCACGGAGCACGTTTGCCTACAGCGACTTCGATGCCGCCTCTTGGATATGGCTCCCGCAGCCCAAGCTCGCTTCCACCGCCGCGCCAGGCACGGTGGGCCTCATGCGGACCTTCAACTCGCCCGTGGGCAAGACCGCGTTCGGTGCATCCATTGCAGTTACTGCGGACAACAACTTCACGCTTTGGGTGAACGGGCACGCCGTCGGCGCCTCGCAGGACTCATGGGCCAATGGGCAAGCTCTCGTGACCAGCCTAAACGCTACCACGAATACCATTGCGGCACTCGCGGTCAACTATGCGGACTCGACTGCGACGGGGCCGACCTCAGCTGGCTTCCTTGCTTTTGTGCGCATCTTCTACAGTGACGGCACCAACAGCACCCTCGTCAGCGACAAGGACTGGAAGGCCACGGGCATTATTCCCCCCGACTGGCCACTCCCCAAAGACACGTCCAAGTTTGTCAACGCTGAGGTCGCTTTCAAGTATGGCGGTGGACCATGGGGGAAGGGCATCACCATTACACAGACAGATCTCTCCTCTGCTGATCTCAAAGGGAGCAACTGGATCTGGTCCACACCAGACGCCGCGGCCGGTGCTCTTGCAGGCAGTGTCGGCTTCCGCAAATCATTCACCTCCCCGCCGGGCAAGGCCGCCTCTTCCGCCATCATCGTTGCCTCGGCCGACAACTTCTTCCAACTCTACGTTAATGGGCGTTATGTTTCTGCCCCCGCTCGCGACCCCAACACTGCGGGCTCAGCAACCGCCTGGCAATTTGCCTCCCGCGTAACGGTACCCCTCTCCGCCACAACCAACACCTTCAATTTCCTTGCAACCAACTTCCTCGCCGCAGACGGCAAGCCCTCCTCTGCAGGATTCATTGGTGTTATCCAGATCGTGTATGCTGATGGTTCCACTGCCACCATCCGCACCGATTCCAGCTGGCTTGCCGTCCAAACAAACGACGCGGTTGCCTTCAACGCGATGCCCGACTCTGCTTTCGCTCCCGCCGCCTCGCTGGGTGTGTATGGCATGGGCCCTTGGGGCGGAGGTCTTGGTGTTGCAGACACTGTTGACGCCGAGCGCATCTTCTTATCCGGCAACAACGTTGGCTCCGGGATCCCGATTTCGGTCAAACCCGTCCCGTCTGGCATCGCCGTCAGCGCGAACATCAACGCGCCGATACCCTCCTTCTCTTTTACGCAGCTTCCGGAACAGCCCTCCGACGGCCCGACCGTCCCTGGCGCCAGCGCTGCCTCCCGCAGCGCGGTGTCCATTGCTTCAGTTGCTGTTAGCGTCTTTACTTTACTTATATTCATGTGATGTTATTTACTTACTTATTATACCTTTTGGGCGGCAGTGCTGATCATCGTTTTTGATATGGTCCACCTCCCGCAGGTCGATCTCATTCCCATGATCATAGCCCTTTTTCTGTTCCCGTTCAAAACACCGCCGTGGTCATTCCACAATTCACAGTCACGGTTCGCGGCGCCAATGTGCAAAGTATGGGTGAAACGAGCCTGAGCTGGAAGGCCAAGATCGCCACCCGAAACTGTAAGCTTTTCCACAATTCTGCTCCCATACAGCAAATCTAAGTATAAGTTTACAGGCTGAGATGAGTAGGCCGTCTTCCAGTTATATGTACCGCAGTCTTCGCTGACCAGAGTCCAATATTAATGTCCATACTTACTCGTAGACTGGCAGTTATGTTCGCCATTGATATCATGCTGTTAACAAGTTTCTGGACTACCGAACAGAACGCTCGGCGCCGCATCTGCTGCGGATGCATGTCCTTTTATACCGCCTCTTGTCGCCGACAAAGACGGACGATGATGTAGCGACCCCACACGGCGAATGCCCACTGCAGTGCATCCTTGATTCAATCATCTCGGCGGTCTATTATTACCCATGTCCGCATTACAGGTGCCCGGCACAAGTCCCACCCATGGCATTTCATTCATTCAAGTCAATTGGGGAGAAGAACGCAATACCCGATCGTATGGTCGTTGGTTCACCGATGACATTCGACGAGATCGGGAAAAGAGGGCTGGGGCTCATGAGAGCGTTCCCCGTTCTTCCCGTCTGTCCCTCGAATGTCTCCCAGCTTCTCCGTCCTGCGGGGCCTTCGCGTCCTGCGGAGCGCCTGTACCAACCACCCCCATCTTACGACCTGCGCGGTGCTCTTCCTGGCCACGAGAGTGGGGCTTGTCCTGATCCTTTACCCCCGCCTACAAGCATTTCCCGAGCCACGCATGCTGTTCCTCACCGCGCTCTTCACACTCCCGAGCTGGGGCATCGCCATGAGCTGCTACAGGGCCGTTGGCTGTTGGCGGGGGATGCGAAGGAAGGACCCGGATGAGCTAGACAAGGAGCTCGCGTGGCTAGTACTGCCCGCTCACGAGGGAGACCGTGACGTGATTTTCGGTGCAGCGGTACGCCGTAGGCGGCGGCTGCTCAATCTTGGGCCCAACTACCAAACGTCGGTAGCATGTGGCTCCCTGGCCATGATAGGACTTGTCCTTCTGGCGACCTTTACCCTCCCCGAAAACGTCCGCTATCAGGATGAAATTCGGCATGCCCAACGCGGAGTACCCAGTAAAGCTCAGGCTGGCCACGGTTCCACTGGCGACAGTTAGTTATCGAATGCATAGTGGGTACCAACGACTCACAATCTGGCCGACAGCGAGGATCTTCATCGCGGCGATGTTCCATAACAACGAGGCGGTCATCCCACACTGGACTAAGGAGATTTTGCGGGTCATAAGTTATATCGGAGTGGTGCGTTCACCATTTTTTAGCCTCTCCTGCATCTTATAGCCAAGTCAGAACAACGTTTTTGTTTCCGTTGTGGAATCTTACAGTGAAGACAACTCCCCTGCCCTACTTCGCGCATTTGAATCCGATGTCATCTTACGGAAAATACCCCACCGCATTCTTATCCAAGACACAACTATTGAACGCCCGGCAAGCATGGTAACATCGCCGGCACGTATCGAGTTTCTTGCAGCAACCCGGAATCAGGCAATTGAACCGCTGTTGACCATGGGCAAGGCGTATGACCGAATATTGTTCACGAACGACGTCTACATTCATGCAGAGAGCATACTGGAGTTGTTGGCGACGAACGGGGGAGAGTACGACATGGCGTGCGGGCTTGACTTCCAATCCGGAGGGTGCGCCACCTTCTTGTCATGTTGTATGTCGTCCTAATCTTCTTCAAGTCTCTACGACCTGTGGGTCACCCGGGATCAGCACGGCAACATTGTCTCCGGACTATTCCCCTACCTCCTTGAGCCTTTCGGGTTCCGTGCGATCCTGGCAGATAAACCTGCTCCGGTGTCTGCTTGCTGGAACGGTGTTGTCAGCATCTCGGCTGATCCATTCCTCCCGCCTCATCTCCGACTCCTACGAGCACCTGGCCGTCGGCTGGCAAACCATACCCTCCCTCCGCTGCCCCCTTCACACCCAGACAGCGTCAGCAAGCCGCAGACACCCCTCTTGCGACCTCCATTAACATTCCGGGCGTCTTCCGTGGACAGAGGCGAATGCTTCTCTTCAGAGTGCTTCAATCTCCCATACGATCTCCGACGACTGTTTGCCCTGGATCGCATCTTCGTGAACCCGCGGGTTATCACCGCATACAAATTGCGCTTCTATCTGTGGTTCCGATATGTGCTGCGGCATTGGCTTGTCAAGTGGTGGATGACAACGGTCGAGGTCGGTTTATTCGGAGGCATGGCGGAGAAGCTGGAGGCAGGAAAAGTGATACTGCATGCTGGTAATTCGAACGGGGTATGGAGGTGGGATGGAGGGGAATGCCATCCAGGCCCGGTGAGTGCTGCTCTCACGCCCGCATTGTGGAATGTTGACGATGTTTGATTGTAACGCTAGTTCTACGATGTAGACTCAACGAAGCGGTTAATAGAATCCTAAAAGTCCTTTACAAACATTAGACACTATATGGTATGACTCGGAACAGGAACTCACGGTAGACAGAGATATCCTTGCTAAGGCCCGAGGCAGTTCCTATCGCCTTTTCGTCTTCATTGCAAGCATCGACACACCCATCGAGAGTCTCCCTCAACACCTGAGTAACGTACGCTACTTCGGGCATGCCTACGTGTGACGGGTCTATTGAAGGAGGGGAGGGCAAAGTAGTCGGATGGCGAAATGCCGCTAATAACAAAACTAGTCAGTGTTCATGAAGGGGAAGTACGCTGCGCTCACGAGTGCACGAGAATTGTCGCGGATCTAACCATCCCACCACATCCAATGGCGCCTTCCATACCCTCGCCATCGACTCTTCTCCGAAAATGCGAAATTTCTCGTCAGAGGTGTTTGCGAATATGGCGGTCTTCTCTGTTTCTTGTACAGTTGACGACGTGTATCTGACGAGTTCTTTTGGCTGGGGCATGCTCTGCAGCGTATCTTGCTCAAGCTCTCTCCGCCGGTCCTTCCTTCGTCGTTTGTAGAATCTGGAGCGCGTGGCCCCCAATGAGTTATGTCAGGGGAAGCGTTCAGCGCGGTGAGTGAGTGCATGGAGATTGCTATATCGGTGGACCAAAAAAACGCTGGGAGGGCATAATGATAAATGGAGGGAGTTGGGAGGGAGGTGAAATTGGCGTGACGTAACACCTTAATCAGCTGCGACACGTGACGATCTGCCTCGTCGTCAACAACCACAACGACTCTGAGCCGAAGCTCACGGCGCACAGCCGGTGAGTATCAACCCTATGTGTAACTTTCATGTGCATACGGTGGTAACATCACATAAGCACTTACACATGCATTGCTCCGCAGCTGGCCCGTCACCATCGTCCGCCCATAGTTCCAATGGCGCCCACCGGCGCCAGGTCGGAGTTCAGGCTGACAACGGTCACACGGCGGCGCGCGTGACAACCTGGGACACCTCCACTGGACGACCACGGTCATTTTTCCGCATGGCCGTCCGAGCTCATCGCGGAGGAGCGACAAACACGGCCCGTGAAAACCTGCTCTCAAGTTTTTGCGCTAGATCCTGGAGGAACCGCGTCGCGACGAAACCTCAGGCTCCAGTTCGTGCCTAAGCATGCAATGCCACGCATGCATACGAGTATATAAGTGTACCCATCCTGGCCTCAGCACTATCCGTTCAACAATGCTCCTTTGCTTCCCCGCACTTGCGCTCGCTGCTGCTGCCGTAGCTGGGCCGACTATCCGCGACGCGAAGGCCACACTGAAGGGCGTCATCAGCAGCCAACGCAAGCTTGTTTTTGACAAGACAGGCAGCTTCAAGGTCGTGTCCTTTTCCGACATGCACTTTGGAGAGCGCGCCGGCGACGGCTCATGGGCCGCCTGGGGGCCAGAACATGTGTGTCGCCGCTCCGAACGTTTTTATAGCTGATGACTCTGCGCCAGGATGCGGCAACCCAAAAGGTCCATGCAGCGGTGCTCGACAAGGAGAAGCCAGACTACGTGTGCGTATACTTATCTTAATTCTGCACTCTTCAGAGGCAGCAGAGCTGACGAAGCACAATGCAGCGTGTTTAATGGCGATATCATGACCGGTCAGTCCGCTTCGTGCGAGAAAAACTTCCTTATGACCAAACTTCCAGGTGAAAACGTGTTAGCCGCTAATGCGACAAGTTATCTAGATCTGGCTTATGCGCCTACTGTTGCGCGGAAAATTCCGTTTTCCGCCACCCATGGAAATGTAGGTTCAAGTTTGTTTAGTGGACAGTGATTGACCTGTCAACAGCACGATAATGCGGTGTGTTCTCAGACTCTTTACACATTCTATGCCCGTTACCGCAACTCCTACCCCTCTAGAACAACATCAACCACCAGATCGAGATCGAGCACGAGCAAGCCAAATATTCCGAGTTGTCGTACACCCGCTCCGACGTCGGCCCCAAGCCTTATGGGTGCGGAAACTATTGCACGTCTGCGCTTTGCGTATTTCGACCTACCAACATGATTATTTGCAGGGGTCCCGGTATATCCCAAACAAGACGCCACCGTCCCGGCGCTCATCATGTGGTTTTTCGACTCGCGCTCGTTCGTCAGTGGCTCGGGGGGTAAAGCAGGGCCGATACCTACTGGAGCGGATTTCCACTGGGTCGATCCAGACACGGTCCCCGCGTATATGAAAGAGCAGCGGGAACTCATGTCAGCAACAGTATGTGCGCCATATAGCTATCTGGATACTGACTCCGTCGTTCTAGTGGGGGGAAAGTGCCCCCGGCATTGATATTCGTTCATATTCCGGTTTGTTTTGCTTTACTCTTCTTATGTTGGCTGCCGCGTCCTGATTTGTCGCAGGTCCAAAAGGCGCAAGCCTTGGCTGCTCTTCCGAGTCCTGGATCGCATGACGACGAGCCTAATCCGCCTGCACAAGGCTTCCTCGGCAATAAATACACCGAGCTGGACCTCCCCTGTGCGTTCATGCCCTAAACGCTGCTCAATGCCTACATTAATATTTGCGAAGTCTGGAAAGAGATCGTTGCGCTGTCCGCCCCCGCTGGAAACGTCCTAGCGGTGACGTCGGGGCACGACCACGGCGAATCATGGTGCGCGCGAAGCAAGGACCTATCGGCGAGCATTCCGATCTGCTTCAACGGCCACTCGGGCTATGGGGGCTACGCGACCACACACACGGCCGTGCGCAACGGGCGGGTGTTTGCGCTCACGTTGAACGATTTAAGCGCCAAGACCCCCATGGTGAAGACGTGGAATTCATGTAAGTCGTTCCCGCTCGTACTGCTAGTGGCCTTGAATCTGAATGCCCGTAATTTTTAGATGAGGACGGCAGGCAAGCAGAGGAGATCATGCTGGGTCCCGATTATATGAAAGAATACAACTAACTTCTCAAGTTTGAGATGATTTCTTCTTCCGAGTCTTCTATTGATATTCATTCGTTTGAGCCGTTTCTATATCTACATATTCCACTGCAGAATACACTCGTCTTAATATATCGCCTTATGATTCCGATTGGTTGGCTGCATAGGAGTACAACCATACTAGATAGCTTAGTTAAAAAGTTATCTAATCACACCGGGATTTCCGCCAAAAAGTGCACGTGGTTGCCAAAGCGGGATCTATTTATGACAAATAATGGTAAAAGGTGAGCACCAGTTTAGCGACTTTATTTATAATAGATATGGATCCCATTTGGCAGCAATAAATGTCTATATCAAGGTATTAGATCTGAACTATACTTATTGTGGCTCCCCTGTTCATGACAACTATTTGTGGGCAATTAGTCCATATTATTCATGCCCTGTTCTGCGTTAAAAATGGTCAATTGGTTTTTGGACCTCAATTTGTCATACATTCTGGTAATTTGTCCCTTATTTCTGACAAATTAGGATACATTTTTGAGGTATATGGTCCCATATCTGGTGAGACAATTTTTGTGACCAATATCCATGAAATGGTCATATGATATCAGCTATGATAAATGCTTATTTTAAGAGAGGGATATGCATAGTAATACTAAGTAATTTGGTACAAATTGGGTCCACTTTCAGTGAGGTTTATTTTTTCATTATCAGGGTTTTTCAAAATGGACCAATTTTTTATTATACTATTTCTAAAAAAAAATAACTCCTCCTTTGGACACTATTTTTTATCCAAAAGCCTTGGTGTGAATTACCCGTGTGAACATTGTTTTAAAAAAATCCCATTACTTTACTAACACGTAAGGCTTCTCACCAGTGTCATGGATAAATAACCTGCAAGTCATTTAGGCTTTAAAACCAATATCTGCATTTGCAGCATCTGTGGGAAACAGGTACCTGTATGGGTATCTGCCAAGGCTTCTCATGAGTGTCACAGATAAATACCTGTACTCTACCTGCAGGTAATTTAGGCTTTAAAACCAATACCTGCATTTGCAGCATCCGTGGGAAACGGGTACCTGTACTCACGGACACAGGTACCTGCACGAGTTATCCATGGGTATTTCTTATATATTTAGGTATATTTCACAATATCAACCCCATATATAGTATACAGTATCAAGTATTGCACAGATATAGATACTACAGGACATGAGAAGACTATAGAGAGTGGAACATATATAAAATAATTAATATTGAGAAGATTGAGATCTTGCAGAGTCATACCTGTACTCTTGGCATCCGTGGGAAACAGATACCTGTATCCGCGGATGCCAAACCTGTGGATGTTTTCCTGTGGGTACCTGTGATGACATCCACAAGTATTGACACTTATGTTAGTAATACGGTCCAAGACAAAAGATAATGTTTAGGAAACCCCACTACGGGCTAGGGTTGAGCATGGGTCCGGGTCCAGGTCTCGGAAGGCTGACCCTGATCCTGACCCTGACTAACCCTGACCCTGATCCTGACCCTTACTAACCCTGACCCTTGTGGGTAAGGGCCCAACCGGGTCTGGGTTGATTCACAGGTTGCAGACATGGAAGCAGAAGATGTATTTGGGATAATAATTTCAACATAACATATATCTTACTATATGGTATTGGCTCAAAAATAGCATATGTAGCCTATTCCTCAAAAATTTTCAGTATAGTTAATACAGTTTACTTATGTGTCACATGTCACTTAAGTGACTTGAGTGACATGTGATTTTATTTGTCTCTTAAAGACTCACAAAATCATGTTTAGATAGGGAATTGTTAAATCAAATCACAACAGCTTATTAGACCCTCCGGATTGACCCTAAAAGGGTCCAGGTTTGGCTGGGTTCAGAAATTAGTGTACCCTGACCCTGACAGACCATACCCTGAAACCCTGCGGGTTGACCCTGACCCATGCTCTACCCTACTGGCGAGTGCATCCAAGGCATGTCCAACCAGCTGCCTAAGTGTAGCTGGAAGGGCTGGAGACATTAAGTAGCTGATATAGAGGAAGAAGTAGTCAAATAGGCATTCCTCAAGGATACCAAATGCTCCCAAGCGACAGGTATCGGTTATGCTACAGCTCAAAATCTTAAAACTGGGCCGTTTTCTGGGCTAAAAATGCATATACAGGGTATTTGAGATGTATTCAATGTCTACATATGCTTTCCTGTTGCTACAGCTACTGTTTATGTTGGTTTTGAGGTTGGTTGAGTTGTCTATCCTGATTTGTGCACCTTCTGATTAGCTCTTCCTTTTTTGGTAGTCTATCTTTTGATCAAAATAGAAGGAAAAATCTAGAGCAAAATATGAATCCAATATATTTGCCTGTTAAGTGCCATGTTGACCAAAGGACCAGAGTCAAAGTTGGAGTCGGAAACAGAATCGAAGTCGGAGTGCACTTGGGGGTGGAACACCACAGAAGGATGTTTGGGTGACACCTATAGTGCACCCTTACCCCCCCTCTAGTTAGAGGGGGGGGTGGGGGTGTGGCTCCCTCTAACTAGAGGGGGTTGAGCTCGGCCAGTGCACCCCCACTACTTCTCACTAGTAGTGGGGGTCTTTGGCGCTGAAAAAGACAGGCGGGCACCCGGCGGCACGCGCCCATGGCCTGGCCGATGTCCCGGAGCCCGCCGCCCTCCCCGACGCCGCGCATCCCGCCCTCGTCGTGGTCACCGCCATGACCAGGGTCATGCGCGTGACCATCGGATGTCACCCCCGATCATTGCCGATTGACGCCCGCTGTCAAACGTTCGGGGAACGTTCCCGCGCGATCCCCGCCCCTTCCCCGTCGCTGTCAACTGTCCGCCGCCGTCGTGTGCTCGACGTTGGCAACGTTGGTGAGTCCATTTCTGGCTTGTTTTTGATGGGACCAACTGATTCTTGATCAGCATGGCTCGACACAGCCATCCAGCTGATGACCTGTCACGCGCCCCGTCCCCGCCCGACCCCCGACGCGGCGCCGCCGCCTCCCGACACGTGCCCCACCATCAAACCATCAAAAAACGAAAAAGTTGCGCACGGACCAGGGAGTGCTCGAGGTACAAACGGCTTATTAATACGAGCATTTTTGAAGCAACAGCAAATATAGTTCGTTAACTCACCACCGAGTAATAAATGTTATTAACTCACTCGCGGCGAGTAATAAATGTTGCTAACTCATTGATGCTTGAAAAAAAACTGAGTATATGAAATCAATTGTCCTCTGCTATGTTTAATAGATGGTCCAATGCATCTCCAAGGCCCTCCACCTCTTCCTCATCTGTTTCATCACCCTCATCCTCCTTGTTTGCTACTTCACCATCTCCATTGGACTCTTGCTCTCTCTCTGACTCCTCTGGCAGTCCAACATTCTCTGCACATATCTCCCACACCACATCTTCAGGAACTCGTCTTTCATCGGAAACTCCTCGGCCAGGAAGTATGGTTCCAGTAAATCCTCTGAGCTTGCTGAGTTTCTGAAGCCGGCCTAAGTGCACTGCTGAGAACCGGCCCTGCAGCATTCGGTAGAGTTGGACTTGTGCAGCTCGTGCTGGTTTGCCCTCCGCCTGCAGTCGTCGTTCGTGAAAGACGAGAAATCTCTCCTCCTCTCTGATATATGTCACCAGCCTCCAGATCTCGTTGTTCAACCGATCCCTCTCCTCCTCCGCCCGAAGTAATTTGAAGTAATGGTCCATAGCTTCACGGGCCCCTGGCTGTGCCCATGGTGCATCTCGTATGTCTTCCCGAGCCAGCCGAAGAAGATCGAAGTCGGCTAGAAAGGCATAATCCATGACCTCTTCCTCAGACAAATGGGGCCGGCCAAGTGGGTCCGCCGCCTTGTTATATCGATCGACGGCATTGTTGACAGCTCTTGAACGAGCTTGAAGAGCTTTTGCGATATGTTTTCGAAGCTTATAGCCTAGCAATAGTCAGCCTTGATAATACCAGCTGGAAAAAGACTCACCTGTTCCCGCCATATTAATTCGGCCAAGTTCCAGAAGTCGGGCAATGACTAGTCCTTGAACGTGGTCTAGAGCCCTCTGGTACCGCCTATTGGTAACCAGAGTAGCCGCTGAAACCCATTCCGCACATTCAGGAGTCCAACGAACGTCTATCTCCAACCGACGTTCCAAATCCTCCACCACCTCTAGGCACTTGTCTCGATTCTCCGTCGCATGTCGGCGCTGTCGTTCAATCTCCGTTGTCTTTTTGACCGCGGCTCGGTAGTTCTCCGTCCCCTCCGGATGAACAATCACGAATTGTTGGGACAAACACTTCTGAAATCGTTCTCTTGAGTTTCAAATCAGTATAAGATCCCACCAAAAGTTCCCTCACTTACTCAGCATCCTGCAGATTTACCAGCTTTTGGTAATACTCCATCTGCAAAGTCTCTTCCTCAGGTTCCTTCAAGAGCTTCTTCAACATCTCCGCCTCCGCCTCCAACCAAGATGGGAAGACATCTCGAGTAGCCACTCCAAGAACCTTCATCGCTTTCTCAAGGCCAGCTTCGGTGTCGAGGATTTCTAATGCGTGCCGGTACTTGCTAACTAAAGTTGAAGCTAGGGCAAAGAGTCAGTCAATGACGGCAGTATGTAAAGGAAACGCACAGAGATTCGCGTAGGCCTCAAAGATATCCGAGTGAGCCATGTACTCCACGATTTCCTGTTGCCGGTGAAAACGAGACATATATCTGGTTGGTCCAGACAGCGCGTTTGAACGAGAGAAGTAAGATTCACACTCTTCAAACGGCTCCAATCCCACGCCCTTCGTATACAGCGGTAGTCGTCAGCATTGACAACGTCGGTTGTGTCCGTAGCCATGAAACGCGCCAACAACCGTGTCAAACTTGTGCTGCTTGGCAAGTGGACCCACAATTGGGTGTGTGTACGCCCATTTGAGGAACTTGCAGCCAATGTCGTAGCCTGCCACAAGTCTCTCAAGTATTTTCAGTACCTCGGCTGTGATCGCGAGGCCATACTTTGCACTAGTAAGTAGTTCAGT